AGTTCCAGCATAATATACTGGAGATCGATGCACCTGTGTATGAACTTCCAGCATATTATGCTGGATCTCCAACACGCGGAAAGTTCCAGTATAATATACTGGAGATTGGAGCACCGGTGTTCCAATTTTCAGTATATTATGCTGGACCGGTATATTATACTGGAGTATTTTTCCGGATTTTGAACGTGTTTTCGTTCAGATTTATCTTTACATGAAAAGTGACCAAATTTCGATTGCTTTTGAAACTGTAACTATTTTTGAATGACCACTTGTAAATATGGCTATTTTTGAATTTTTCCCATTAACAATAGACCGGCGACCCTCAATAAGCAAGCTTATGGTAGTATTTCACATTATTTCCTTTTTTTCCTATGTTAACAGTTTAACTTTCTGAATTGAGATAATATTGTTATTTTAAGATGCGAAGTAACGTCCTCTTTGTTAAGGATGTTGTATCAGACATGGCTTTTTAGCTGAGAGTATTCTCATAAAAGTTTCTACTATTTTATTATCATCAATTATGAATTCAAAAAATTGTTAAGTTTGTTAAATATGACCTTTTGGGTGAATCTTAGAGGTGATTCAAGGGGAGGCTAGTAAAGTCTTTGCTTTAAGACCTCAAAATGCAGAGACCCGAAAAATTAATAATAGTGGATACATAATAATATTTTCGCTTAGACAAAAAGTTTGTAATAAAAAGTATAATTTTTATTTAAAAAAAGAGAAAGAAAGACTGTGTATTTGTTAACAATACTCAAATTCATATTAGTAAATAATTCTTTTTTAACACGATCCAAGATAAGGTATTGCAAATATATGACTAACATCTAATTAACTTGAATTAACCTTTACTGATATGAGTAATATCATTACGTGAAGTTACAAGATTTATGTCTTGTAAGAATATAACACACACGTACACACAAACACACACACACCCTATTTAAAAAGTTTAAGACCACTTATTATTAAAATTTGGCTTTAGACTACTAAATTTATTAAGCCGCTCTTGGTGAGTGTGATTATAAGTTCAAACAAATACTAAGTACACGAAAGAATTAAAAAAGGGTCCTACCAATTTACTGAAATTTTAATTTGTCATTTTTGGTGCTCGGTGTGAATGAATGGAAGCTTAGCTGGGAGGATAACGGATATGTTCCACTTCAACAAACCTACACTCGTATTAGCTCCCCAAAGCATAGACAAAAGAAATTTATAAATCAGGAAATATGATATTTTTTTTTTTTTGGGTTATATACAATGGTAAATAAAACATAAAAATACTTGTTTTATCAATAAAAAATATTTTGAGGTTGCTTGAATCGAAAATATAACATATGTCAAAAACATAGATATATATTTCTTTGTCCGAGAAGAATGACGGGATTCGAAGACTCAAGACTAAAGTATCTATGTTTTGTGTGAATTCAAATATTATTTTTCTCAGCAATTTTGTAGATAAACTCATATGTTTAGATAATGATGAATGCCTACCTTGACTCGTTATTTAAATTTTACTCTACTTGTTCAACATTTTAAAGAGAAAATCAACTTACTAGTTGTTTCACTTTCACTCAATGCCAAAAGCATGACAAAATAAGGTACTATAAGGGAGTTAACCCAATCAACAGTTTGATAAATTGCCGATGTAGATTTTCCCTATTTGTCCTTTTTTTTTGTTCGGGGGATTTAAAATTTTAAGACACTATAAACTTATATAAATTTTTAAGACGAAAGTGTTAAAAATGGGGTAGAAGGGACACTTTAAAACCCCCAAAGTTTTCTTATTTACAAAAACATCCCCTTCCTCCATCTCCCCTAATGTTTGAAACATCCTCAGGACATTTGAAACGGGAGATGTTTCAACTATCTCGGGAGATGTTTGAAACGTCCTCGGGATGTTTCAAACATCACGGGAGATGTTGGAGATGTTCAAAATTACCCGCAACTTTTGTTATTTTTAATTTGACCCCCGAACTCCTTGTGTCCTATATTCTTCCACAAGACTTGAGAAGTCTTTTTTACCTCTTTTTTCCAATTAACTAGGTGAAACTACACAACAAGTCTTTCTGGGCAAAACAAATTCGAGTTCAAAATTCATGTAATATCCCACGATATAGAAAAACGTATAATCTGAATTACTCCCTCGTAATGATATCACCTCTAATCCGACTGAACAAACAATTGGAAGTTAAGATTAGACAGCCAAGGGATCCTGCAGAGCATGCCAAGCCACGACGTCTTTGTATGCCAAGTTACCTCCAAAAATATCCAAAGCACTGCCCACAGTTACATCCACACGCCCCATCCCTGCAAGTTTGATCTTCTCCAGATCAGCCATCACAGTGACACCACCGGCATATGTTACAGGAATCTGAGAGCCACGTGAAGNATGAAGATAAAATTTGGTGACTTCATCTGGAATACGAGGGCAATGAAATCAAAGAATATATAGACTAGTGGAGAACCTCTATGTAGTTGTTTATTCGCAGGGTGATTGATCTACATCTTTCCCCTTAACCCTGGGGCTATGTCTCGGATATAAGCGACTAGCTCCTATATGGATTCCCCTTTATCTAATGCCACGCCTTGCGACAAAAGGAGAGTCCGTGGGGCACAAAGTCAAAGACTTTTTTTGGNCGTGAAGATAAAATTTGGTCACTTCATCTGGAATACGAGGGCAACGAAATCAAAGAATATATAGACTAGTGGAGAACCTCTATGTAGTTGTTTATTTAAGGTGATTGATCTACATCATTCCCCTTAACCCTGGGGCTGTGTCTCGAATATAAGGGACTAGGCCTTATGACAAAAGGGGAGTATATAGGGCACAAAGCCAAGACTTTTTTTTGGGGGGGTGGGGGGTGCTCAAAGAACTCTTCTTCTCTGATAACCTGTTCATTGTCTAAATTCCCTTAAAACTTAAAAACGGATCAATGCTCATTCAGCATTCAATATCTAGAAAAAGGGGAAAAGAAAAACATAAATGCCGGCAGAGAAGCATTTGTCCCTTATTTGACTAGCATTGTCTGATGGAATCTATTTATTATGCTCCCCAGAATAGCAGAATGAGAAGCCACGATAGTGAGAAAAACTAGTTAATACAAACAGCAGTCAATAATATAAACTGCACTTACAGGGGAATACTTTCCAAGCAATGCCACGAGCTCCTCATCTATTCCCAACCTGTGTTACACAAGAAACGTATGTCAAATTTTTTGATTAGCAGATCATTTACAAACCATATGTGCGACTAAAATGATGAACATGGATATCCAAATAATATTTCTCTTTAACTACTATCTCTCACGAGTAACTTCGCATTCTAGTGCACTATATTTTGAGAATGCTGCAGAAGAAAATACATGCACCAATATAAGATCTTCCATTTTCAGATAACAGGCAATGGACCTTTGCTCAATCAGGGCCAGATTTAAGGTAGTTATGGGAAATACCTCATTATTAAACTAGTTAATGATACAAGCTGATAAAAAGTGTAAGAACTCAAAGCAGATCAAGAAAATAGAAAACTTAGGTCAGATCTCAGCAATTAGCGCATTTAGTACATTTAGGTCATTACAGTATGCTAGAGAAAGAAAGTTACTTTATTGGATCGCCAAGGTAATAAGCCGTTTAAAAAAGCAGTAGAAGTCGCAGCTTTCACTATTTTTCATTTTCATTTTTCACAAGACATTGGGACAGTCATTGGCATAAAGCCCTAAACAACCTAGTTGTCTATGTCATTGACATGGTAATTCAAACATCAAAAGGAGTCTTTCATTAAATAATTGCATCAACCGCTATTGCAACTCTATAATGACGGTACATAGGAAAAGTACCGAGACTTACTTTTTGCCTTCAACATCAACTCCATGAACCAGAAATTCATCAGAATAGTCTGCAAGAAAATTCAGGACTTCCTCATTGAGACGTACATCAGTAAACTTCTGCCATTTGTCTGTGACAATTACATATTCGCCCTCCTGCATGTTCTTTCAAGTCATTGGATCTATCATAGCAGAAGAAAGGAGAGCAGTAACTGAGTCTAGTTTTACAAATTCAATCATCTATTCATGCCCTGAGCCAGTCCCAGACAAGAATCTCCTCTACATTAATATGAAGAACTCTGTCTTTCTAGGAGCCACAAGAAAATGGATACCTTTTTATGTTGTATTGTTTATCAAAGATAATTTCATTTAAAAAGTGAATACCTTTTTACGGCAACTAAGATCCAGAACAAGCCTATTTCTCCCAACGAGAGAAGCAAGTTCCTTAAGTCTCTCAAGGTCCATTTGCCCATTGTTAAAGACAAACTGCAACATAGACAATAAGTATCAGATAGAGAGGATCTCGTAATATAACAATATTGAGAGGGCTTCCAAAGCAAATCATCTATCCTTTGGAAAACAACAGAAATATAACCAATCACAATTTAGAACTATTTTCATTTTCTGTACAAAAAAATTGAGGCACGCCATGAATTTTTAAACATTGGGAGAAGAGATTTTGAGGTGTTTAACAACTTTGAGAGAACCCAATTCCTATACTGACTTTAATGCCGATTCTGAAACCTTCAGTTCATATTGAAAGCTCTGAATTTATTTGTTGTTTCCAGCACTTTGCTGCTGCACCAGTTAAGATCTATTCTGTGTTGTTCAAATTGTTCTCTCATCAATTAGTTGCTTGGTTTATTGAATTAAGTACTTCTATTAAGAAACTGTAAGCATGCTTCGCTATCCCGCAGAATTTTTTTTATACAACTACTAGCCATATTCCCAGTTTCCTACCCAGCTTATAACTTTTTCTCTTTTAGTTCTACAACTATGCACTGTTCAAACAGTATTCTGCAGGCTAAACCGCCTTTGAAGTGTATTGACGTGTCATTAAATTCATTATGAGCTCTTCACTCAATTAGGTAGCTTTCAGCCAATAGAAATGATTAATCTTAGATCCGTAGTAAGCTTAATACTTTAGAGCTGAAGACGAGATCCTGCAGCATTTTTTATCTACTTTAAGTGCATATAATCATGCTGATTCAGATTACAATGGAGTCAACTCACTCTCTCACCTCTCACCCGACGCCACCAGCAAACTGACATAAGATTGAACTTTTTAGTTAATTATGATAAAGAGCAGAAAGATGGGAAAGGATAGGCAGCTTCACTTTCTCTATCGAAGGCAACAGTTCAACTTAATACTTGTTGCTCTCCTTGCCAGCCCATGATTGTCGTACACAAAATAATTAAATAATATAAGGAGGTAGGAATCAATTTAAACTATGAGTGTATAGCAGGCGCATTAGCTGCTTCTATTCTCATGAAACGAGCAATCAATCAATCTACGAATCTATATGAATACCCTATATCGCTCCACTTTATCTAGGTCCTGTCTGTGTTTAAGGCAAATTAGGGGTTTCAACACTAGTACAAAATCATATAAAGAAGAGCACGAGAAAGATATGACTATGAGATATCAATCAATTAGGTTTCAAATTCCAAATTAGTTAGGGTGTCTTATGTAAATCCTCGGTAACCATTACACTCTATTCAGGTCCAATACATTCCAATACTAAATAATTTGTCTTTTAAGACAAAAGAAGATGACAGTGAGATATTTTCAGAAATCGTAACATGAGAAATATAACACTAAAAGTTGCTTTTGTACAAGAATTTAATCATGAATACATACCGAGGTGACAATGACATGGCTGGCTCCTTCTTCAATATAACTCAAAGCATTTTCAGTTCTGATTCCTCCTCCAACTTGCAACCCACCTAGATGTTTTCACCCCTCGAAGGATATCACCAGAGGAAAAATCTGTAAGTTGAGATGTTGTATCAACCCTATATACACTTTAGTATAACATCGAGTACCTGTAATATATATTTGTAGTAAACAGTTTCAAATAAAGTTATACTAAAAGTGGCCAACAGCTTAAAGATCACATGCAGTTACTAAGTACATACACAACCAAGTAAAAATGATTTAGACCTTTTTCCCTTTCCAATTCGATTTTATCTTCAGTTGATACTAACATGTAACAACCAAATCTCCAAAAGCAATATTAAACCAGCTTCAGCCCATATCGATTGCTGACATTTCTATTAACTAATAATAATAAGTAGTTCTAAAACTCTGGCTAATCTTTCAACAACCAATTCGATTTTGCTCCAACTCATGTTTTACCAGTTTAATACAATAACTCTGGCTAATCTTTGGATATCTATGGCACATATTAGTTTCATATACTGGGAATTATGTCAAATAATAAGACAAACATTTATGTATGAGAGTGATACTCATCTATGGCACTTTTTTATATCTAAGTGTGACAAAACATCTAGTTCTAAGATTAAAATTTCATATGCCAAACAAATATCTGAACTGGTTGTTTGTTATAGTGTTTTGATATAGCCTAGGATTTCAGAGCTTCTGTGTTTCAACAGTAACATATTCTTTTATGGAGCTAAAGGTCCAAAATATGGAATAAGCAAGCGTTTCCATGATTCTACCACCCACTGTTGAAACAATCCTTGGGCATTCTAGTGGACATTATGTGCTTATTACACGACAACCCTTAGAGGAAGAGTCAAACAAGGGGGATAATGAGTAGGAGATATGGAGGTTTGGGTAATAGAAGGATTTGAGGTTGCTCATATTTTACAAGAGATGCCAAAAATTGAAAACAACCATAAAAGAAGAGAAGGACCGATGCCCTACCAGGGTAAGCATGTAACGCTTCAATTGCAGCTGATATGCTCAAGGTATCAGCACCAAGCATAATTACATGGCCACCTACAAGGTCGTCGTCTCTGTAAAGCTTTGCATATTCTGCAGCTGATTTATCAGATTCAAAGTTAGTTACCAGGCTTGTATCTGCCTCCTTAGAATCTCGAAGAGTGGATCCAACAATTTGCTTCACTTTTCCCTAAAAAAATGAAATTTTCAAGTAAACATCTTCCTAGTATCTTGAGGAATTTAGGAAACTGTAAAAGTTAGCACTCTCTGGAAACCTTGAAAAGTAATTAGAGAAACATAAATAGTTTAGTCTCCTCTCTGACTTATCTATTTGATACAACTTCCCAAATGAGATATGCTATTAAATGCTGAATGAATACCAGTAGTAATGAACCTTTACTCTTTTCTTCTTCTATTTAATCCTTCTATGCAACCAAAATACCAGGTCCATTTTGGTTTCTTCATTTAACTGGTAATGGTATATACATATACTCCGTACTGTCAACACTAAACGATGATGTCACTGCAAGTCATTTGCTAAAGCATAACAAGAAGGTGCAAGCATAAAGAAACCCCAATATCATACTCATCTAATGTCATAATCCAACCCATAAATGCAGCGAACAGGTTCTTGAACCTTCTCAAATACATAATCTCAATTTATGACTAAGGCCACCAGGACTTGCATAATTATTCGCAAAAATTTGAAAGATATACATAGCTCAAACAACGAAAGATGTAAAAAAGAAAAAGAAGAAAAAGACCTTGTGTATATCAATGCAAGGGCGGAACCGAACCCCACATTTTATGGATAACCTCTGCGGTCCTGTACAGTTTTCAAAATAGAGTCATATTGATATAGCTATACAACAAAATATGCTATTACATCAGACATACCAGATGGAGGCAATGTCATAGCAGGTTTGAAATCTTGCATTCTGTTAAGAGTATACGGTGCAAAGCTGAGATTCTTCCCCCAAAATAAGTTTTGTAGTGATGAGGCTGAAGTTGCTTGGAGACTTTGCATTGTGAAATTCGACTTAGCTTCAACCAAATGCGTCTGCAGTGTGAACCCTAAGTTAGTTAATTGAACGGAAAAGGTTCAAAATGGCCCTTTAAAAATACCCTTCATCCCTTTTTTTTTTTTTTTTTTTCCGCGCTCATGCCCTTTGACGGTTAGCTCAATGCTGAATTAAAAATAATTAATTAAAAAAAATATTTTGCAAAATAATTTTTTTTTTTAAACTAATGCATCATTAATCCACTAATTTAGTAAAGTCTTCTTCTTCTTTTCAGTTTTTACAAAAAAACAATTCAGTTTTTATAAAAAAATATTTTTTTTCATTTTTTTCAGTTCTTTTAAAGCAATTTTTTGGTAAAAACTAAAAATAATTGGTATAAACAGAAGATTTTTTTTTGAATAAAATATTTTCGTTTTTAAAAAACTGAAAAATATTATCGACAAAATATTTTCGTTTTTGAAAAATATTTTTTTTTCATTTTTAAATTTTTTGAAAGCATTTAAATTCCACGCGGCAACTTCTTATTGGTTGAAATTAAAATTTCTAACCTATTAGAAAGACTAACCCATATCTAATCGTTTTTCTGACTAACCCGCCCCAAAAAAATGAATTTTTTTTGTTGAAAATATTTTTTCAGTTTTTAAAAAACGAAAATATTTTATTAAAAACATTTTTTTTTTTGTTTTTACAATTGTTTTTCAGTTTTTACAAAAAAATGCTTTAAAAAATGAAAAAATGAAAAAAAATAATAATATTTTTTTGTAAAAACTGAATTGTTTTTTGTAATAACTGAAAAAAGACTTTACTAAATTAATGGACTACTGCTGGTGCATTAGTTTAAAAAAATAAAATATTTTGCAAAATATTTTTTTAAGTAATTATTTTTAATTAAGCATTGACCCAACGGTCAAATGGCATAAGTGAACCAAAAAAGTGGATGGAGGGATATTTTTAGCCCAATAGGTGGATGGAAGATATTTTTAAACCTTTTCCAATAGTTTAGGGGTATTTTGAACCCTTTTCCGTTAATTGAACTATATACCCACCAAACAATTACACACATGACGGGCTGCCGCATACAGAAGAAATTGGGCAAACCCTCTGCCTTTGGCTCAAAATATTTGAAAATTATAAAAATACTCTTAGATATGCCATTTTATGCGATAAACTTTCTCTTTTTATTTAATCTTAGCATCCCCATATTATCTTTAACGCGTGACTTATTTGGACCCTCACTACCATTCATTTAAAATGAAAATACATGTGAAACTCTCACCTCCACCCGTTTAAAAGGACATTGTTGGTACTTTACATACATTTGACTTACATGTCACAAATCTATTTTAATTACTTAAATTTCACATTCAGTCAATCACTGTCGCATAAAATGGTATAGGCAAAATATATGTTTATACCAAATCCAGACCCATTATCACAAAGAAGTAGGTGTAGTGATACTTTGCTCACGCTAAAAGCTTTATGGAGTTGCACCTTCACCAAGTATAGACATCTAATCTTATAAGTGCAGACAATAGAGAAGTAAATCGAATTCCCACTGCTCCACAAGGAAAAACCAGAATATCTTAACATTTCTAATATCAGGAAAAAAAGGGGGTCTAAATTGCTAGGGCAAACCAGGAGCCAAAGATAGGGGTGTGCATTCGATTTATCGATTCGATTTTGACCCTTATCGATAATTACTTATAAATTATCAATTTGTACATATGCTTATCGTTATCGTTTCAGTAAGGTTTCGATTTTTTCGATTTCGATTTATCGATTTTTGGGGCTTATCGATTCGGTTATCGGTTACACCAATAAGAAAATTTGCGGGATTCCACGGAAAGTATATCGCTATAAATACGCCTAACTAATATGGACAAAAAGAAGCTAAAATAAGACGAACACCGTTTATAACATAAAAATTGTGTCAACAAGCACATGCAACGAAACTAAAGTAAGAGATCAAATTTATGCCACCAACATTCCAACGATATAAAAAAAAATACATCATCACGACTAATTCTATTTTCCATTAACTTGAACTTCATTCCCTTGAGCTTTAAATATGATCATTCCTTAAATGTGGTAGAGGAAATAATAGGGTTCTTAGGGTAAAGAGAAGGGTATTATAGAATAAGGGTAAAAAAATTAATTGATTTTTTTTTTTGTCTTTTTAGTATATCTTATCGGTTTATCGATAAACCGATAACCGAAGCGGATAAAATCGAAATCGAAATCGATAACTCGATAAGGAAAATTTCGAAATCGAGATCGATAACTCGATAAACCGATAACAAATAATCGATTCGATTTATCGATAAATTGATTCGAATGGACACCCCTAGCCAAAGAAATCAAAACTACAAAACACCCTGCCAGTTTCAGACATAGAACTCAGAATAACCAACTGAATATGTGTGTGTGCGAGAGAGAAAAAGGGAGTGGGGAGGGGGGGGGGATCAAGTAAATCCATGTTCAAAACAATATAATGAATAAAATTCAGCAAAATGGTACTTATACCAAGTCAAATAAAGAACAAAAAAATACAGACTTTTACAGAGAATGGAAATTTAAGCATCAAAATTCAAGATTACTTCATATTGAGAGCAACAATTTCCAATCTTGCCAATAAAAAGCTACATCTACAAGTAAATCTGATACCTCTTATTGTGGGCAACGACTATGGCAAATGAAGGGGCATGGAACATGGCTAAGGCATACGTGCAAATTAGTGAGACGACAAAGTTTGTGGCAAGACATGGTCATGAGCTTATGGGCGAGGCATGGTCCAAAGACAAGGCAAGGCAAGAAGACAAACTGTGGGCAAAAGCTGGAAAACAAGTGTGCAAGTTATGTGACTGAAGAAGTGTGTTATGCATGTGCTATGGAAGTTAAGCATGTGCAAAGCACATGTTACAGTTGACCGAAATGCTGAAGATGAGTTCAAATTCGTGGGAAAGTTTGAATTCAAATTTAGGACAAGATAGTTAGCTTTGTTTTTAGGCTTGCCATATGCAAGGCACATTGTATAACTGCCCTGTAACTGCCCCTTTGTAAATCTGCCATAGCCAACCCCCTTTTATATGTGTATTTCGTTGGGACTAAGGCAAGTAGCATATGCAAGCCTTTTCCAACAGAGTGTCCTTTATATTCTGCGAGAATTAATGAAGGTTGGTTTTTTACCCGTATCTCTCTGTGTTGCTACGTTTTTACAAGTCTGAAATAATCTAAGTGTCGGACTGTGTGCGAAAAAGGAAGGCTGAGTGGCTGAGAGTTTGACTACTGCCGTGCAGTGTCAATTGTGCTAAAATTGGCCCTGTTAGTATATTTTTTCACTTCCTTCTTCAACTCTAATTTTTTCTTCTCTAGGCACAACAATTTCATTTTTTCTATTGTTTCTGACCATTTTCCTTTCTAATTTTAGCTCTTCTAAATTAGTTATTATTATTTTATCTTTTTTGATTGGTCTATCGATCATAAAGTAAGTTTTTTTGTGGCTCATTAGTTATTGGTATATGGATTTTATGAAATAAGCTTATGGGCCTCCTATTATGGTTTGGCTTTAGGCCACCTAATTCATTGAGCCGCCCCTGGAGGTTGGTATCGAGTAAAGGAGGTAATTGCAGCTGAGGTGGTGGCGTAGCACCTCTTAGTTAACGTGTTCAATATCATTGAAATCAAAATCCGTATTCCAACAAAATTTTGCGTGATGAATAGTTATATATTCTGCTTTTATTTTTATATTTAGGAAGAATATTAGACTCATTTGTTTGCATTTAATTAAAGTTTGAATCTTAATTATTCATATTTAAATAATTAAGTGTATTTATATTTTAGGTCTAAATTTTAATTATTATATCTTAATCATTAAGTACATTTATTTTTTTATAATTTTAATGGACTGAATAGATTTGAATAATTAGTACTTAAAAGTCATTATATTGGTAAGATGCTATCATTAAAGGATTTATGCAAATATGACATTTCACCTCTAGCTACTGCCATCATCATTCATCATTATCAACTACATCACACACTACCCAAAACCATCGTTGCTGCCAATTAATATAGTAAGTCTGTACCACTATGAGTCACCACCACCATTAACTATCATTATCTATCATAATTATCAATTGCCATCACCAACTACTATTGTTAACATTTACTATCAGCAACCATCACCACAAGTTACTACCCAATATCACCACCATCATTCAACAACATCAATTCTGGTACCTACAACCAATAGCATTAGCTAACACCAGTTACTACTTGTTGGTCTCAACCAGACCCAAGATACTCTTAATATAGTGTGATATTATTCACTTGAAGCTATGTCCGTTTTAAGGACCCAACTGGTCATTTTGAGCATTTGCATATGATTCAGTGATTTGAGGTCATTAGTAGCTTCACATATGCATTATGACTTGCGTGTATTGTTGGTTTTGGTTTTCGAGTGGTTCGAGATTAGTTTATAAGCTTAAGTTGGTAGAGTTGACCAAGTTTTACTTTTATGCATTTGACCTCAGATCAGAGTTTTGATGGTTCCGTTAAATTTGGATGGTAATTTTGGACTTGGTCGTATGTGCGGATTTACATTTGGATATTCCTAGAAGGTTTCTATACTATTTGGTGAAAGTTGGCAATTTGGAGATTTAGAATATTCATAAGTTTGACCGGGAGTTGACTTTGATGACATCGAGTTCGAATTGTTGTTTAAGGAGCTGGGATATGTTTGTTATGTCATTTGGAACTTGTGTGCAAAAATTAGGACCATTCTGAGTTGATTTGATATGGTTCGACACGAATTTTGGAAGTGGAAAGTTCAAAAGTTCATCAAGTTTGATTTGAGGTGCGATTCGTGGTTTTGATTTTGTTATGTATAATTTGAGGCCTCGAGTAAGTCCTCTTTCTGTTTTGGGATTTGTTGGCATGTTCGGACGGGGTCCCGAGGGGCTCAAGTGAGTTTTAGATTATTTTGGAACATGTTGGTTAATGCTGGTTTTTGGCAGAGATCTGGTGTGCCCACACCTGCGAAACTTTAGGC